AGAGAGAGCACGCAATGGACTGGGAAAGGTGGCCTGACTGTCGGGCAGCACGGGGGGCCTATGTGAAGTTCATGGTCATGAATCCAAGACCAGTCAGCTTGGTTGTATGTTTTCTCCAGCGACGTTCGCCTGTGCAGGGGCAGGCACAGAGGAAGTGAAGAATTGTTTCCGATCAGCACTAAGGTTTTGCCAAGAGAGCACGAAGAAGAGAGAGCAGACCAAGGGCATTAAGAATGCAAGAAGGTGATTATTATGACTGACCATGAATTGAGGCTGGATGAGGAGGGAAGGAGAACAAGAGGGAGGTGGGAGGACAGTAGATTTAGATCCTGGCAGGGTTAAGTGTTATTGGACTTGGGGGACTAGCAGTGTGAGCTGGAAAAATAAGAGAATGGTGGTCAGAGAACTGCTTGAAATTGGGACTTGTAGGAGGCTCAGTTATTGGTAATCCCAAAGCCTAGTCTGAAATACGGCCAGATTATCATGCAGCACAAGGAACTGAGAGGCCGGGCCTGGAAAGAATGAGCTCTGTGGATATGAAGCCACCAATCGTTAAGACAGGATTGTTGGTGAAAGAGACAGTGACTGGCACACTGGCGTCCTCCAGAACTGTGAGAAATAAATTCCTGTTGTTTATAAGCCACTCGGGTTAGCATCTTTTGTTGTAGCAGCCCAAACGAACTAAGATTGTAACCAATATAGGATTTTTAGTTAGGGACTGTAGCAAGCTGAATAATGGCCCCCAAAGATATCCATGTCCTAATCACCAAAACCTGTGATGTCATATGGCAAAGGGACTTTGCAGGTGTGGCTAAATCAAGCATTTTGAGATGGAGAGACTATCCGAGATTAATTGGATGGGCCCTAAATGCAATCACAAGTGTCCTTACAAAAGGCAGGCAAGAAAGTCAAAGGAGACAGAAGAAGATGGGAGAATGAAAGCAGAGGTCGAGTGTTGAGCTCTGAAGATGGGGGAAGAGGCCACAAGCCACAGAATGCAGGCCCCTTCTAGAAGCTGGAAAAGGCAAAAAATGGGTTCTCCTAGAACCTCCAGAAGGAAACCACCTGCCAACACTTTAGTTTTATCCCTGTGAGACTTCCTACTTCTAGAACTATAAGAGCATTTGTGTTCTTTTAAGCCACTATATTTGTGGTCATTTCTTACAGCAGCCATAAGAAACTATTACAGAGACAATAAAGATAAAGTCTTCCAGCTCTACACTTACTAAAACTTCTTTGCATAGGATACCCTAAGACACCATGGTCCTCCCTGGGATGTTTTTGGTAGAGCCAGTGGGGAAGGCTGTCTTTTTTGTGCCTTTGCAGTCCCAGTGGAACGCTGCACACCTGGGGTGACGTGTGGCCACCTTCTCAGCCGCACTGGGAGAGAACAAGGCTGGCAGGCAAGGAGAAGCAGTGATGGGAGACGGATAGAGAGCATGCAAGAGAGAGAGAGGGAGAGAGACAGACAGTCTCATCCTTCAGGCCTCAGTTCTTCCTGTGATTTTTCTATGGTTCTGTGAGCTCTCCTAGTTTCCCAGTTACAAGAACCAATAAATTTCATCTCCCGTTTTTCGAGTTTAGCTTTTCTCATTTGCAGCCAAAAGGGTCTTGACAATTACACAGAGACCTCATGTGTGGCTTGGCAGGGAATTCAAAGGCTGTGACCACTTCTCAGTGGCTGCGCCAGGGCAGAGCTGGGAGCACCCCAAGGTACGTGCTTTACAAGAGCCTGCCAGCCACAGTGATGCCAGGCTTCAAGGTCAAGGCCAGACCTGCAAGATCCTCCCACCTTTTAGGGTTCTTCTATGAGTCAGAAGCTTTCAAAGACACTTTCTGCTTGGATCGTCTTTTGGGATAAATTCTGTTATGTTCCTCTTTCCTCTTCTTATCACTCAGCTCTCAAGCACCGCAGGGTGCCGCCACTCCTATAGTATCCCAGGGCTGGGTAAGCAAATGCAGTCACCGGGCACCATTCAGGCTCGTTCTTAGGAGGATTGTCACTGTGGGCCACCGTATTGCAGACTTCCCTGTCCCCACCTCACCTCCTCGCCCCCTTGAAAACTGAAATTCTTCATTTGAAGTAGCAACCCTCCTTCCTCCCTGGATCCATTGTATTCAGAGGGACAGTGACTGGAGTTGTCCCAGGAGACAGTGGAGTCTGCACTTCTCCCTGAGGGTGCCTCCCTGGCAGTTTTGGAGGCATCAGGGCATTGGTTCAGGATGCTCCGGGAATAGTCTTTAAGATCGGCCACTCTTAACCCGTCACCAACAAAGACAGTCTGGACTTCACGTCCCTACATGTGCAAGCTTATAACCGCACACACTGAAGGCCGGCTCCCTCTCCCCTGTCAATTTTCCGCCCACTGGGGCAGGCTGAAGTCTAAGGCCACAGTGTGCTTTCTCAGCCTGGCTTGGTCTCAGGACTCCTCCCTGGAGAAATACCCATGCACTTACACCTTCTATTGGAGTCCCAGAGCCAGGTCTTCAGCTTCTCCACCCCATCTGGCGACCCCTCCCATTTCACTCAGATAATAATAGAACCCAGTGGCATGAAGGGCTGTTGGAAGGTTTTAGTGGAGAGGCTCTGGGGTGAAGCAGACCTGATCTGGGAGAGCAGCACACCCTTCACCACCCCGCCTCCCCGCATGAACGGGCTTTGCGCTCACACTGGGTTCCCTTGCTAGTTCCAGACGCTGTACTGGGTGCACCCCTCCACCACCCCACTTCTAACAAGCAAGAATGCACACCCCAGCTCCTCTCCTAGCACTCACCCACTTCCTGCCCATGATGATGGGAGACTGGGAATCACCAAGCCTTGGAAAGTGCATTACAAGGGCCTAGCAGAGATGAGTGAACGGTGGGGTGCAGGGCAGAGAGTCCCTGCTAGAAACAACCTCAGGTGCTCCCCTTCCCACAGCCCCACAGGACAGTATCTCCCCTTCTTTCTCCTGGAGGAGTGGGTTTGGCCAAGCAAGGATAGCATTTTTGATGCGAAGGAGGTGTTGGGAGACAGCATGGATTTTTTTTCTTGCTAGTGGGACCCAGTGCTCATCTGAAAACTGACATAATCCTGAGTGCCCTAGGGAAACAGTGGAGGCTTCTGGAGAAAACCAGGGCAGCAGAATTGAGCTCAGCTTCCCAGCAGCTGCAGTCCACTCTGGTAGACAGAGTCAGGGGTCTAGCAGAGGCTGCAGTCCTGTCCTGCCATAGCTGGACTTTGGCCTCCTGGGCCTAGTATGCCCTGTCCTACATGGAAGCCGTCTTAGATCCCCCCACCCCATGACTCCTGGGTCTCAGGCTGGGCATTCACTCCTGCAGGGAAGGCTGAAGAGCAGTGGAGAGGCTGGGGGGAGCTTGTAGGTAGAACATGGGACAGTGGAGTGTGATGAAACCACACAGGACTGTGGCCATGTGGCCAGCCTCAGTTCTACTTAGATAGATGTAACTTCGTATAAAGCTAGGCCACAGTTCCTAGCTGTGGGGGGACTGGAGCTCCAGGAACTCAGAGCAGGTACAGGGGGGAGGATACTCCTCACCACTCCTGAACACCAGCCTTGAGGGGCCGGGGCTGGAGGGGAAAGAGCTGGGGAGGCTGGCAGGGCCTCCCCCCTCTTTGGAGAAGAAGAGAGCTGCTCTTCTGACCTTCCAACAAACAGCCCCATCTCCGTCCCCCTCTCTACCCCAGGCATCTTCCTCCCGACGCCCCAAAATACTGCCGAGAGCATGTAGAGAAGCAGGATTCAGTGTGGACACCAGGCCATGCTTGCTTACACTTAAGACCAGGCCACAATGACCAAATGACCAAGTCAGAGCACCTTGTCGTGATCTTAAGTCATGATCTTAATTGAATTCTTCTTTGGCTGCCAGGGTGTGCCAGGTGCTGGAGGCACTGGGGAGGGCAGCACCCACCAGTACCTAAACAGGGAGAGGGTGGAGAGGGATTCGGGCCTGCGGAGGGACAGTCCCCCTCACATCCTGGTTTCTGTGGCGCCCTGCAGGAGCTCTCCTGAGCAAGCTTGGGAGCAGATGGGGAGCTGGCTCACACCCACCGTGCCTTTGCCACTGTGTTCCAGCCTGGGCCAGAAGGGGAGGCTCCGGGTGGGTGCAGGAGGACGTGCAGAACTTGCTGCCAATCCCCCAGGGGAGGCGGTAGATCTCCGAGGCCTTCAGAGTCTCCCCAGATTCATCCTGGATTTGATCCCATGCCAGGAGGCCTCGCTCCTCCTGACTTCCTGATAGGCGACAGTGAGAAGTCAAGACTGGGCCCTGAGGGAGCGGGGCTTCCTGCAGGCACTCACCAGGTCTCTTCTCAGGAACCTCCCCCTCTTCCCCTCCTCCTCCTCCTCCTGATCCTCCTCTAAGCGTGTCTTAAGCACAGCTCAGCTCAGCTCAGCTTAGCTCAGTCCCACTGCATGGCTGACACTGTGTGCCAAGCCCTGGGTACAACACATAGGAACCACGGAGATTTCCTCAACCCCAGGGGGTGGGCCTGTGTGCATTTCAATGTTTCTGACATGCAGTTGCATTTTACATTTGGTGGAGAGAAGCAGTGTGAGAACAGAATACCATGAGCAGGTGCTATCACAGAGCTCCTTTTAGGAGGCCGTGGGAGGATCCAGAGGAGGACAGGAGGAAAGACCAGCTCGGCAGCCTCCTTCAGGAAGCCCCCTGTGACTGGAGCCCCTGTGCTTTTCACCTTCAACTTGCTCAGCACTTACAGACCACAGCCCTCGCAGCCTCCTTCAGGAAGCCCCCCGTGACTGGAGCCCCTGTGCTTTTCACCTTCAACTTGCTCAGCACTTACAGACCACAGCCCTCATCAGCCTGTAGGGTGACTGCCTGTTTGCCCACCTCTCTCCCTCATTAGCCTTGGATTTCTGGAAGGCAGGGGCATGTCTTACTTCTCTTGTATTCTCAGTAGATGGCACCTGTTACATGACACTTGCTCAGTGGATTTTTATTAAAAGAATGAATGAATAAATAGATATGTGGTCTCCCTCACCAATTAGATTGTAGGCCCTACGAAAGCCAGGACTGGGTCTTTTTCCTTTTGCTTGTGGTGTATTTTCTACTTTAGGGCCTGGTTATAGACTGAATTGTTTCCCCCTAAATTCATATGTAGAAGCCCTAACTCCCGATACCTCAGAACTGACTGTATTTGGAGATGGGGCCTTTAAAGATGCAATTAAGTTACAATGAAGTGGTTGCGGGGCCTAATCCAATCTGACTGGTGTCTTCACAAGAAGAGGAGATTAGGACACACAGAGAGATGTCAGGCCCTGCACCCTGCCCAGACCCAGGGCCCACTCAGGGTATGCTGTGACCAGCCTGTCAGGGGAAGGGGAAGCTCTCCAGCTAGCCCAGATGCTGACCATCTACCCACAGTGCCAGCTCACAAGGCAAGCTGAGCCCTACCAGGGATGGTGTTGTCCAGGAGAAAGCCCAGAAATCCACCGACAAACATGCCCGTGGTCAGCAGCACCTGGATGACCTGGTCCAGCTGGAGAAGCCCTAGAGGGAGACAAAGCAACAGATCCCCTGCAGGCTGTGCCCCAGGCATGGCCACCATCCAGACGGCAGAGGACACTCACCTGTCTGGAGAATCTCAGCATTCTTCTTCACCCAGTTGGGAATGGTGAGTCCACAGTAGATGGAGAAGCCAAAGATGAAGAGGTTCCTGGACGAGTTCATGTCCACGTACTGAAGGAGAAAGGCCCAGAGGCAGGCACCTTTTCTGCACACTGATGCATGTACTGTTTTCACAGGTTCTGATACTTCTGGCTAGTTCCTTCTTCCATCTGGTGGCTTCTGGGAGCAAGGACTCCCTTCTCTTCCACCCCTGCCCAGGCCCATCCCGTTCCCCTCCATCCCATGGGCTGCTCTCTAGAGAGGGATGCTGCTGCTTCTCCAAGGGAACTCACTGGCCTCACCTGCAGATTGGAGATCCCTACAGCCGTGATGAGCCCAAACATGACCAGGAACATGCCTCCATTCACGGGGGCTGGGATGGTAGAAAACACAGCCCCGATCTTCCCAAATACGCCCATCAGAAGCAGCACGCAGCCCGCAGCGACCATCACCATCCTGCTCCCCACCTGCAGCGCCCGGGGAGACAGGATGAGGAGGAGCAGCCAGGCCAGATGCCCAGAGCCTCTGCACCTCCAACACTGCGGAGCTGGATTTGCAAGAGCAGTGCCCTCTAACCCCACAGTGACCCCCCCGCCCCCTAACAGGGCTTGGGAAAGGCGTGACCTCAGCCTGGTCTCTGCCACACCTCTCTTCTCTGCTGCTCTTATACCTGTCCTGGCTCCAATGCTCCTCCCCTAAGAAGCCTGTAAGGCAAGGGGAGAAGTCTCTCGGGAAGCAGAGTGGCCCAACACCTGAGGATGGGCGTTTGGAAGCCAGTCCGAGCTCTGCCTCTAACTAGCTGTGTAACTCTAGGCGCATGGCCTCACCTCTCTGAATGTCAGCCTCCACGTTTACCACATGGGATTAATAATACCTGCTTCATAAGATTAGATCAGAGAATGTATGTGAAGTGCTCGGAACAACGGTAAACATTAGCATAGTAAGCACTCCAGAAGGAGTAGAGACTGTTTGCACAGGACAGGGTGCCAAGTTCTACTGCATGATGTTGCATCTCGGGCTTGTGCCATTGTCCCCTGGGGTTACGTGTTTCTTTTTCCCTATAAGATCACATGCCCCCTCAAAGACAGGAATCTCTTTTACTTTTCCTCCACAGCCACTCTTCGCCCTCAGCACCCGTACAGCATTTGATATATGCAAGTTTCATGGATCATGGAAGGCCAGGGCAGGATGGCAACCCTGTGAATGCCTTGTTTAAACCTCTCATTTTACAGAAGAGAAAACCAAAGTCCAAAGAGGGGGAGCAAGGTGCCCAAGGCCCCACGGTGGCCACGTTTGAGTCACACCCAGTCTCCTGTCTCTGGCCTGGCAATCGGTCCCCTGCATTTGCAAACAGCCAGACATGTGGGTGCTTGACCCACACCACATCCATTTCAATTTCCACGTTCCTGTTGCTTTGTAAGTAGGGTCTGTAATCTTAGTGGGCGAGACAGATACCCAATGGGTAAGCTAATAAAGGAAGGAGATCATTTCTGATAGCAGTATGTTTTCTATAACAAAGTATCAGGGGGGAGGGGTGCTGGGATGGGAGCTTTGTGGAGGGTGGTCAGGGGAGGCCTGCCCAGGAGGTGAGGGTTCAGCTGAGATGCAAGGAAATAGGAGTCATGCACATGAAGATTTGGTGGAAAGGCATTCTAGAGAGGAAATAGCGAATGCAGCCTCCATGGTGGGAGGAGTCTGGGTGGTTTGAGAGCAAGAGGACAATCAGTGTACCTAGGGCGCATGACCCAGGGAGAGAGGCAGGGGATGGGATAGAGAGCAAGGCTCCATCATGCAGAGCCCTGGGGACCACGGGAAGGAGTCAGAATGAAACCCGAAAACAAGGCATGCACAAAATGTGGCACATCCACATTATGGAATGGAATGGAATATTACTCAGCCTTTAAAAGGAAGGAAATGCTGACACATGCTACAACATGGGTGAACTTTGAAGATGGATGCTAAGTGAAATAAGCCAGTCAAAAAAGACAAACAGTTTATGGTTCTACTGACATGAAGTCCCCAGCATAGTCAAATTCATAGAGACAGAAAGTAAAATGAAAGTAGACAGAAAGTGGTTGCCAGGGCCAGGGGGAGGAAGGAACAGGGAGCTGTTGTTTAACACGTGCCGAGTCTCAGTTTTGCAAGATGAAAAGAGTTTGGAGGTGGATGGCGCTATCAGTTGTACAACAATGTGAATGTGCTTAACACTACCAAACTGTACACTTAGAAACAGTTGGGATGGTAAATTTTATGTTGTGTGTGTTCTATCATAATCAAAAGTGAAAAATAAAAAAACCCAAAGACAAGAAAACCCTTGGTAGAGGATTTTTAAGCAGGGTGGTGACATGCTGTGATTCACATTTCAAAAAGCTCCTTCTATAAAAGTC